AGTCCTGGCTCGGGAAGTGTTTCGCTATGAAGGACCTCGGAGAGGCTTCTTACATTTTGGGAATAAGGATAGTAAGAGAAAGAAGTAAGAGACTAATTGGACTTAGTCAGAATACTTACTTAGAGAAGGTACTAAAACGTTTTAGTATGGAAAACTCAAAGAAGGGAGAACTACCGATACAAGGAAATGCCAAGTTGAGTAAGACTCAAAGTCCGAGTACTGAAGCTGAAATAGCAGAAATGAGCCGAATACCATATGCTTCCGCAGTTGGCTCAATCATGTACGCTATGACTTGTACTCGCCCTGATGTAGCCTTCGCTTTGAGCATGGTTAGCAGATATCAAGGGAACCCTGGCAAAGCACATTGGATTGCGGTGAAGAACATCCTTAAGTACCTTCGGAGGACGAAAGAATGGTTCTTAGTCCTTGGAGGGAGTGATGACTTGAAGGTGCGAGGGTATAGTGATGCCAGTTTTCAGACCGATAGGGACAACTACCGTTCGCAATCGGGCTGGGTCTTTACCCTAAACGGAGGAGCAGTAACTTGGAAGAGTTCCAAGCAAGAAACCGTAGCTGATTCAACGTGCGAATCAGAGTACATCGCAGCGAGCGAAGCGTCGAAGGAGGCTATATGGCTAAAGATTTTCTGTGATAACGAAGGTGCAGTTTCCTTGACCAAGGAACCGAGGGATCATGGTAGATCTCGACATATCGACAGAAAATATCACTTCATTAGACATCGTGTAGAAGAAGGACAACTCATAGTTAAGAGGATATCATCAGAAGATAACCCAGCAGATTCGCTTACGAAGGGACTGAGTAGGGTTAAGCACTTGCAGCATGCTAGGAGTATTGGGCTGAAGGATGATATTAGTATAGATTAGATAGTATTTAGAAACGTATAATAGATAAATGTAATTAACATTTGATGATTAAATAAAGGAGTTTTATTTATAAGTAAAGTTACTGTCATATGTTAATTGTTTAACTATTGTTTCACTTTGCATGTTTTGACTTCCAGAATAATTGAGTTTATTAGGAATAATCGAATTATTCAAATTGTCCACAATCGTTCATATGTTGGAAGTAGATATGAATGAAGATTGTCATGAATTGGTGTGTAGATTGTCTAAATGGTGTTAGACATAGCAAGGGTTGCTGCAACGTTCATGAGTGCTTATGAACTGGTTTTGAGCATTGGAATAAACCCGCGCTTACTGGAATCACTTTATGGAATACGATATAAAAGGTGATCGCAAGACGATAATATCATATAGTCTTAAAACCTAGATATATGGTTTATTATTTGTTAATTGATTGTACATTGATAATGCGAAAACGCATCAGTAACTTGGTGTTATAAAACGCATTGTTGTGTATAGTTGGTTAATGAATAAGTAAATGCATATAAGTCGAAGTTTATCTGTAAATTTTATCCTAAGAGGGTAGAAGAGATATCTTGGCCACTCGATGATTTGATTTGACTTATGTGCCGAGCCCGGTCAGAACTGAATTGATGTGTTTGATTAAGTTCTATGTCGAATAAATCGGAGATCGAGAAATAAATGCTAGACTAACCATTCCATAGGATTGTCAGCATGATATCTAACAGAGGACTGTACGATCCCTTATCTAAAGGACAAGATTGATTAGATCAGAGTTTGATAGCGTCTTTGAGAGCTACGATTGCAAACCGAATTGTACTTGTATAGTTACTAGACTTATCCAAGTGGGAGACTGTTGGAATAGTGTCTAAGGCTGCAACTATATTAGGCAAGTATTTGATCCGGTTGTGCATGGTCCTTTTGGGTTGCCTTCACCATAGCAACTTGATGGATGATTTGTTAAGAGAGAGTAAATATTATAAGGAATAATATATGGTTATTTGATTAATATAAGTCATAGATTAATTGGAATTAATTTGGTGACTTAAAGAGATTAATTAAATAAGAGGGTATAAACTGTCAATTGTTTGATAGTTACACTTTAGACTATAAATCCTTATCCATGATAGGATGGACGATTTCTAGGGCTTGGATAAGCCAAAATCGTCCATAGGGTTATCAAGGAAAGGATATGGATCAACTTAAAGTCTAAGTTATCCAATTAGGGTTAAAGTTGTAATCCTTAAGGAGTCTACAAGTATAAATAGGCCCTAGGGGTGAGGGAATTCGAGTAATCACAACACACCATCTAAAGTAGAGATACTCTGGCCGAATTCCTCCCCTCTCATCTCTCCTAAATCATCTTGCTTGCTATTGGTGTTTGTAAGCCATTAGAGGAGTGACATTTGTGACTCTAGAAGCTCCAAGATAACAAGATCAACAAGGAATCCAAAGGTATGATTCTAGATCTATTTCAATGTTGTTATTTAACCTAATTAGCCATTAGAAGTCTTGGATTCAAAGCATGTTTAATTAGAAAGCCTAGATCCGAGCATTAGGGTTTTGCATGCGCACATAGGAAAGTTCTTATGGCTAAAACCCATCATTTAACATGATGCAAAAGCGTGGAATGCTTGAATGGGAAAATGTCTCACGTGTTTCCATTAAAAAAGACTGTGAAAAAGTTTTTGAGATAGAAAAGAACAAGCTAAAGAATTTATTAAAGTCTATTTCAAAGATTAGTGTGACCACGAATATGTGGAAGTCTACCAATCAGAAAATTGAGTATATGGTTCTTACAGGCCATTTTGTTGATTCTAATTGGCAATTACAAAAGCGTGTTCTTAGCTTTATTCACTTACCTCCTCCTCATCGTGGGCTTGAGATTGCTGACAATCTTTACAAGTGTTTTAAGGATTGGGGTATAGAGAATAAGGTGTTCACTATTTCCATTGACAATGCCTCGAATAACGATTTGGCTGTTAGGATCCTAAGTGAAACTTTTTCAAGGGTTAAAAAGTTGCCTTGTGCGAGGAAAGTTGTTTCATGTATGTTGTTGTGCACACATCTTGCATCTTATGGTTCAAGATGGACTTTCCAGAATTAGCTATATTATTGAGGATATTCATGAAACTGTCACGTTTATCAATCAAAATGAAGGGAGACTTAATTTGTTTTCTGAGATTGTGCAACAGTTACAATTGCCACATAGAAAACTTATTCTTGAATTCAAGACAAGATGGAATTCAACATATCAAATGTTGTTGGCTGCAATCAAATTTAAAGAGGTGTTTCCAATGTACAAAGAAAGAGAGCCACGCTATCTTTGTTGTCCCAGCAATGATGATTGGTTAAAGGTGGAAAAGGTATGTGAAATCTTAGAAGTTTTTGACTCTGCGACTAATATCATCTCTGGGAGTGAGTATCCGACTTCAAACTTATTTCTTAATGAATTTTTTAGAGTGAAAGTTTTGTTGGATAAGAAGTTTGAAGATTCTAACGAAGATGAGTTTGTTCATGACATGGTTAAGTGCATGAAACTAAAATTTGATAAATATTGGGGAGATTGCAACTTAATGATGTCTATTGGTGCTATTTTAGATCCTAGGTGCAAAATGAGGGTTATTGAGTTTTGCTTTCCTAGGATGTATCCTGAAAATGAAGCTTGTGAAAATATAGACAAAGTGAAAAAAGCTTTATATGACTTGTATAAAGAATATGCAGATGAGTATTACTCTAGTAGTGGTGAAGGAAATGGCAAAAGTGTTGGTTTAAGAGGAAACAATGTGAATATTCAAGCTTCATCTTTTGGTTGGTCTGAGTTCGCTAAATTTGTATGAACAGTTGAAAATATACAACCACAAAAATCCGATTTAGATAATTATCTTGAAGAGAGTTGTTACATTTGTGAAGAGGATCCAATACCATTTGATGTTTTACAATGGTGGCGGTCAAATTCGTTAAAGTATCGTATATTGTCACGCATGGCTCGAGATATACTTGCAATTCCTATCACCACTGTTGCATCGGAAGCTACTTTTAGTGCGGGTAGTAGAGTTATTGACACATATAGAGCATCCTTGGCTACTGAAACGGTAGAAGTCTTACTTTGTGGTGGAGATTGTTATCGAAGCCTCTATGGTTTGAAAAGAAAGAAAAAGGCCTGATTATTTGTTTTTCATCACCTTTAATGTGTTATTATAATTTCCATTATATTTATTATTCTTGTGTTTATACATTTCAGAAAGAGAAGCAATAAATGGAGATCAATCTTCCCATTCCATGATAAGTAAGTTTATTTAAAATGTTGAAAACAATTTTTTTTTTTTGCTGCTTTTTTTTTTTTCTTTTTTTGCAGCTTTTTGTAGTTTTGTACTGTTTGTATGATTTTTGGTAGTTTTTTATTGTTTCTTTTGTAGTTTTTTTTTTTTGTTTTTAATGATTTTTATGCTGTTTTTAGGTTAAATAGTTGTTAAATAATTGTTGTTTGCTGTTAAATTTTTTTTTTTTTTTGTAGCTTTTTGTGGTTTTTTTTCTGTTTTTTTTTTGGTTTTTGGTAGTTTTTTTGTTGTGTATTTTGCATTTATTTTGTTGTTTTTTTACTGATTCTTGTGTTGTTTTTAGGTTATATAGCTGTTAAATAATTGTTGTTTGTTGTTATTTCATCAGGTAGAAGCTGGAGAAGCTGTTTTGGTGGTGAGTTGGTATATTTTTGAAGTCTTAAAAGTTGTTTTGCATTGAAAAATGTTTATTTTATGTATTTTGAAAGTAAAAACGACATAGATGCTTGAATGGTTGATGCTATTTTGCATTAAAGATTGTTTATTTTTGGTATTTTGAAAATATGTCAAACTTATGACATATATGGACTATGGGTGATGTTTTATTGATATTAGATGTTTAATTGTGATTTTTTTGGTAGTTTGGACATTAGAATATGAAATGTTTTAATAGTTATTACTTTAATTTAGTGATTTAAAAAAATATATACATATATTAGTCGAACCAAGCTTGAGACTGTTGAGTATTTCACGAGCCCGAGCTCGAGTTTAAAATCAAGGCTCGAGTCGAGTTCGAGCTTGAGTATTTTTGTCGAGTCGAGCTTCGAGCTTTATAATGTTCGGTTCGACTCGGCTCGTTTACACCCTTTCGCAAGATCGTACGTATGCGAGCCGATCTTAATTCTCAATTTTTTATTAGAGTAAATTACATGAATGGTCCCTATGGTTTTGGGTAATTTGCACGTTCGGTCCCTAACTTATTTTTTTAACTCTGAAGGTCTCTACTGTTTGTTTTTGTTACGCGTTTGGACCCTACTATTTGTTTTTGTTACGCGCTTAATCCTTGTCTTACCTAAAAAACTATTATTTAAATAGAAAAAAATGATGGAGTGAGTAAGGTAAGATGAGGGTGGCGGGGTTGGGGGTGTGTTTATTTAAATAAATTGAAAAATCAAGGGCAAAGTAGTGCTTTTAGGTAAGATAGGGACCAAATACGTAACAAAATCAAACAATAGGGACCTTTCGAGTTAAAAAAATAAGTTAGGGACCAAAAGTGCAAATTACCCTAAACCATAGGGACCATTCATGTAATTTACTCTTTTTATTATTATTATTTTTATCTTCACCTCTGCGATTAATGCTTTTTGCTGGATTCCTTCTTTACGTTTTTACCTAATCTCCCCAAACAACAGAACCCAGATCGTATTTCACTTCTTCGCCTCTTGAAGCACCGAATTGTGGAGCTCCTAAAAATATTCATGGCCTTGGCTTTGAGTTCGACCTAATTCTCTGCTTCAACTCGAAATCGACAATGTCTGGTCGTTTGCTACTGTATAGAAACATCGATTAAGACCAAAAATCAAGAAGATTTCCGATTTCAGTGGTCACTTCAACTATTTTCTGTGTAAGTTGTCTTCTTACTGATTAAGTGTTTCTTATTTTCTTTGATCATTATTTCACTTCTTTCTAAGGTCAGAAATCAACGATTTTTCGTTGTAAATTTGCTGATTAGTTGTTTCTTTGATCATTATTTAAAGTTTCTAAGTTGATCGATTTATTGTAGTTTGTGATCAATGTTCAGGACACTACACACTACAGGTGTATGTATGTGAATGTGATTACAAAGTGTTTGATACTTTGTTCATGTCTTTTTTACCCATTGTTTAGGTCATGTACAGTTGTTGATGATGCATATGTATGTGATTAGTCTGTGTTGTGTAACCAATGTGTGCATATGTATGTGTTTATGACTAATGACTCTATGTGCTTCTTAGTTTGTTTAAAGTGTATACATATACATTCTGAGTTTATTTGTTTCCTGGATGGATTTATTGTAGTTTATGTGCTTCTTGATGATGCATTATTCTAGAAATGTTGAAAACTTGGAAGATGATTTGGATTTAGAAGAGAGAGAGAGAGAGAGAGAGAGTTGTTGTGTTAGATTAGATAGTATTTGATAATTTGGTATGAGCAATGTTTTAAACTTATAAGTGTCACTTTTGTATGCACATTACCTATTTAGGTAGCCAGGTGATGGAAATTTATTTTTTCATGTTATAAAAATATAACTGTCATTTTCATTTTTGGTAGGATCTTGCAACTTGTCTTAACTCAGCAATGGATTCTTCTGCAAAATCATTCAATCCAAACAAGCATTTGAAAGAACAGTAAAATCCTATTTCTTCTTAGTGATTTTCTGTAACAAATCAGATTATGTATTGGATGGAAATGGCATGTCACATGTGTGTAATTAATGTTTATCAGATTTGTGAGCAACCTAAGTGGATCTTCCATGGTTGAAGTTTTTGTACTTTCAGCAATATTTTCTGTACGTATGTTTTCTTATTCTTCCTCAATCAAATCAAATGAAGTTGTTTAATGGTGATTGAGCTTCTAACATTTTGGTTGATTCAGATGCTTATTCTCCTGCGACATACCATCGGCATCTACAACAAAATAGGTGATTTCTTCGATAACAGAATATGAAAACATTAACATTATCTCGGGAAATATGTTAATGTTATTCAGTTGTTGAACAAGATTTCGTCAATAGCATTTAATAAATTCTTCTTAACATGATTTTCTCTTTCTTTTTCTTTTAGTAAAATGGATTAATTTGGTTTGCAATTGCATCTCCAGATGAAAAAAATTCATCAAAGAAAAAAACAGTTGGCTCAATGGGTTACATCATGAGAATGATAGTAGATTTCCTCTCCATTGTTCTTCCTATCACTCTGGTTTCTACAGTAAGCCTGTTGTAGATCTTCTCTTGTGTTAGTGTTAGAATAGACAAAATAGAAAGACTTATAATAATATGAAAAATTCTTTTCTTCACAGGTTCTATCAGAATGGAGTTACATGATTGGGGTTGTATTTGTATTGGTGTTGTTTTTGTATTTTGCATATAAGAGGTAAGATATCTTCTTAATCTTTCTTCTGTTATGTTACTTTTCCAATAAATCATTATCCTACAAAAATCTTCCGTATGATGCAATAGAGATGGATCTTGGTATCAGGAAGAAGGGGTTCATTCTCTCAGGGAATGTGTATCATCATACAGGGTTTCATTGGTAACATCATTATATATATATATATATATATATATATATATATATATATATATATATATATATTTCATTTTTCTGTTGCTCTAAAATAAAATTTGTTCAAGTTGTAGTTTTGATTTTGTGCAGATGCTTATCACATGTGTTTGTATTTTGGCTGTTGACTTCAACATATTCCCTAGAAGATATGCTAAAACCGAGACTTATGGGACTAGTTTGGTAATTATCATATATATATATTTATAACAATATCTTTCTATCTTTTATTGATGAATAAAAAAATCTATATATATATATATATATATATATATATATATATATATATATATATATTTTTAGATGGATGTTGGGGTTGGTGCATTTGTTTTTGCAAATTCATTGGTTTCACGTCAAGCTCGGGGAGTTTCTACAATGTGAGTGAGTCATCAATTAAATTATGTTTCTAATAATCATGATGATGTTATAAACTTATAATTATATTGCTCAATAATATTTTTGTTTTAGGGGTTTAAACTTAAAAAGCACACTCTCCTCTACTAGCCCACTACTAGTGCTAGGTTTTGCTAGACTTGTTTTTACATCTGGTGTTGACTATCAGGTACATAAAACTCTGTCTGTTTCTTTTTCTTTTCTAGACTGAATAATTATTAAATGACTATTCTACCCCTTATAGGTTCATGTGGGAGAATATGGTGTTCACTGGAATTTCTTTTTTACACTTGCTGGTGTAGCAGTGCTGACATCACTTGTCAATGTCTCTCCAAACTATTGTGGGCTTTTAGGTTCATTGGTACTAATAGGTAGGATTTTATTTTCTTAATTAATAGTAATACTAGTAATTATCTTCTTTTTATAAATTATAATTATATTTTTCCATTTGCTTGCTTTTTAGGCTACCAAATTTGCCTAATCAGTGGATTGAACGCGTATCTGCTTTCTTCTGAAAGAGGAACAGACATCATCAGTCAAAACAAGGAAGGAATCTACAGCATATTCGGTGAGGTATTTTTGGAAATACATAACACGGGTAAAATGGTCTATTTTTTTTTTGGTAATAATTTCATTTAGTTGTTTTGTTTCCTGTTCAGGATATTGGGGGCTGCATCTTATTGGTGTTTGGTTAGGCAACAATCTTTTGTTTGGGAAGAATATGAAAACTAATGATTGGGCAAGAAAGAGAGTTTGGATTCTGTTTCTTTTCTTCTGGTATATATAATATAAATTTAACTGTTTTTTTCAGAGTAAATTACAATTTTGGTCCCTGAGTTTGTTCAAAAGTTTCAGTTTTGGTCCCAAATAGTTTTCTTTCATTGCCTAATTTCAACTGTTGTAACTGTTTGGTACCAAAATTGCAATTTTTGAACAAACTCAGGGACCAAAAATAACAAAAAACATTTATTCTCATCTTCCCAGGTGTTTGACCTTGATTCTGGATAGTTATGTTGAAAGACCTTCGCGTAGAATGGTTTGACTTTTCTGTTTCACTCCATGATTTATTATTTATTATATGTAGTATTTTTAACAAAAAAATGTGATGTTAATTGATAATTGATTGTGTATTGCTTTTCAGTGCAACATGACATATGTCACCTTCGTATTGGCTACAAACCTACAGGTGATTTTTTTTTTTTTTTAAATCACTTTGTCATATAATTTGGCTTTTTTTTTTTTTTATCGTTAAAATAATAAAATAGTTGTTTTTTTTTCAGACCTTGGGAATAATAATGCTCTCTGGTGGTAAAAAGGTGTCACTACTGGAACAAGCAATCAACCGAAACTTGCTAGCGGTTTTCATTGTGGTAAAGTATTTTGAGATTCAAATTTTGTTCATCAAAGTTTTTTATAAAAAAAAAAAATTTAACAATTTGACATGAAATTTATGCAGGCAAATTTATTAACAGGATTAGTGAATTTATCGATGAATACCCTGTTTGTGTCTCCAGTCACAGCACTATTTATATTAGTTGCATATGGTTTTATTATTTCTTGTGTTGCTGGATTTGCAGATTATAATGGTATTAAGTTAAAGTTTTGGTAAAGATTTATGCTTCATTACTTGTAATTCCGATTTTCTTTTTGTTGTGTTAACTATATAATATACCTTGAGGATTTGAAGCCAAATGCCATCTTGAAACCCCTTTCATTTGGGCTACTCATTAACAAAGTATTTTAAAATAGATTTTAAAACCATTTAAGTAAAATGCAAACGTCCCCAAACATCAAAGCAAAGTAAAATATACAATCAATAAAGTAGAATATGTCTCGTAACATACTCTACTATTTCAACAATTCACCTCACATATAGGCCTTCCTTAGGACAGGTATACGTTGCCTCTTCAGATGGTGCGTTTATCAATTTATTTATTTTTTAACCAACAAGGTTGATGAGTATCAAAGATTGATTGCTTATCCCAATTATCTCAATTTAACATTTACAATAACCAAATTATTTGTTCAACACAAATCATCTAACATACCATTTCACTAACGAATAAAAACATCACATGTAACAAATCAAGGCTAATCAACGATACATTTAGATAGATGTTACTTACAAGATATGGCATTTGAAAATTTTCAACTTGTTTATGATCAAAACATCTGTGTAATCAACTAATCATCCATATAATCTCTCAACTGCCAAAAAACTTATCCAAGTGAAACTTGGTTTTCAACAAACTATGATTCAGCGGGTTGTTCATTAGAAGCATTATCTTCTTCAGTTTCACTTTTATCAGCATCTTTTTCACTAAATGCTAAAGTAATCGCCCTATCCATCAACTCCTGCATTACACATTTACATGTTCACGAATGAATCATGCCATTAAACATCCAAAATAAAAAACGAAAACTTAAATGATCTAAAAACAGTAGAAAAACTTACCTTCCCATTGAAGGTGGAAATTGCAGATTCTGCTTCTTCTTTAGTTGCAAAAGTGACAAATCCATATCCTGCTGATCTTCCTTCAGGGGTTTCAAAAACAACCCTTGTTGATACAGGGTTTAATTCACCAAAAAACTCTCTAAGATGATTAGCTCTTACTCTCCATGCAAGATTTGACACATACAACTTGTAACGTTTCTCTCCAGGAGCTGAAACAGGAGGTGCTGCTGATGATTTCTTGTTTTCTTTTGCAAATTCTACCCGGATAATCCTACCCATTAATTCCTAAACATACGATAGAACTGATTATTGAGATCAATTTTGATAGAAATTAATAAGTGAAAAACAGACAAGATTGTACGTACATAAGAATCATATTTTTGGATTGCAGAAAGTGCTTCATCTGTAGATGACATTGTAACAAATGCATACCCTCTGCTTTTCCCATCTTTCTTCCTCATTATTATCTGTCACCATTAAAACAATTGAGATTGCTAGGAAACCCTAAAAAGTTCTTTCACTTTTTGCAAATTTCTAAACAAACCATATCTAATAATAACAAAGAGTGGTGAATTGATATAGAATTGAACCTCGGCATCATCTACTGTTCCACATTCACTAAAAAGTTTCTTGAGGTCGTCGACAACGAAAGACCATGGGAGATTAAGAACAAAAAGCCTATTTTGTACGACTTCTTTCAGGGGTTCTTCCGATTTCTCGTTTTCTTCGACCGGAACTTCTTGAATTGTTGATGATGATGTCAATACCTGGAAGTTTCTTGAAATGGTAAGGGGATATGGGTGAGATTTGTGGTGGAGTTTGGAGGTAAAAGTGGGAAGTGAAATCTTTAACCTTGCAGGGAGTATTAATGGCGGATTTGAAGAATATGAGAGACGGGAGAATGAAATTGGTAGTGATTCAAGTGTTGCCATTTTTGTTCCTGAGCAAAACCCTTGGGAGGAAGATTTTCCCTCGCTGCAGAAGGGATAAAGAAGTGAAACTTGTGTTGTTTTTTTAGTATTGGATTGTGGCCCTTGATGAAATCATTGATAGTTAGATGGATATTTGATGACAAAATTTTGTCCTTTTCTAGAGTTTTAAAGGTCTAATAAAGGTCTAAATCATTTTTATGGACATAATAACCAGGTCATTTCAATCGAGTTCCGGGCTAATCGAGTCGTACTATTTGGATTTTTTTTATAAACATTCCTAAATCCGACTTTAATAAGATCAGTCGGGTTTGGGTTTCAAGTTAATATGATCAAATTAGTGGGTTATAATGTTGTGTAAACACTTAAAATATAAAATACTGCAATATTAGATAAAACTGTAAAATTTGACTTTTGGTTATTAAAAAAGTATGGATAAAGTTAAAAATGTTTTCAATTTTCATGGTTGATCAAAACATAAAAGTTCTTGTGGTTTTGGTTCTGAACTTAACTCGCATCTATTTCTTTCTGTACGTGCTCTCCATGTGAGAGTAATTTTGTCTTTTCACCTCTATTCCACATTACCGTCATCTGAGCGTAGTACAAGATATTTGTGTATATCATACTTAATTATCAGTTGGCTACTCGTATTCCTTCACCCATTTTTGACGACATGAAAATAAAAAAAAACCCTAATCACAAACCCTTTTTCTAATCAAGCTTCAATCTGTTGTTAAGATTACACAAATGGTTCTCACAATGTAGTCCACATAGCACACGGTCAAGAAGTTGATCCCAACCAAATTTATGGTAAGATGCTTTGTATTTGAACATGTTCTTAAACTATTGATTTATTATTATTATTATTATTATTATTATTATTATTATTATTATTATTATGAAGATTATGAAGATGGACATCCCACCATGTTCAGTATTGAACTTCATCATGGTGGGAAGTTCACAAAGTTTCCAAGCCTCAGGTATATTGAAGGGATTGTAGCATACATTGACGTGGTCGATATAGAAGAATTTTCAGTACACGAAATAGACTTCATCATGTCATATTTAGGTATGTTGTTCCACCTGTCATCCACTACCATTTATGTTTGCCCAATGAGGGTTTGGATTTTAGACTAAGTGCTCTAAGTAATGATGATGATGTGCCTAACCTAACGAAATATAAAACTGAGAACAAACTGATAAAAGTGTACATGGAGCATGGACAAAAAATGTTGGTTACCTATTTCATGTACCCAAATGGTCCTAGAAGGGTTATAATAGAAGAGATAGAAAATGAGGAACCACCTTAGCCCATATCCCTTACTCTGGGTACTTAATTGGTGGAATCTGAAGTTTGTAAGGGTAAAGTAGGTTTGACCTTGGCAAGGTATGGGTCTTTTACACTTGAGTTGAGTAGGTGTAAAGATTGGAAACCTACCCAATGTAGCTCATCAAGCAAATGAAGTCCCATATGAAAACAACTATAGTATGGAAGAGGAATTGTTGAAAGACCTAGAAGATTTTGATCCTTTCTATGGGGTTGAATATAATGAAAATATTCCAAAAAAAATCATTCAACATAGTTGATGCAAATGCAACTAGTGATGATGATTCAGACAACATTGAAGACAACAATGAAGAAAATGACTTTATGGTTGATGAAGATAACCCAATTCCAGATATTGAAGTAGATATGGAGAATTTTCACATAAGTATAGACACATAAGCAAAGTACTTAGAGAGTGATCACAAGTTTCATGAGTGTAACGATGTTGAAGATGAAGTAGATGATGTAAAGGTTATTAGCAATGATGAATGTGATTCTATTGGTGAAGATTCAAACAATGATAAGAAAAGAAGGGAAACCATCAAACAGTTAGGCAATGAGTATGTTCTCATGGTGAAGTGCACAAGATGGCCTTCCATGTAGGGCAAAAATATAACTCAAGAAAAGAACTAAAGGAAATAGTTGATATGCATGCATTGGAGACTAGAAGGAATATTTCTTTTACAAAAAATGACAAACATAGGTTGACAACTATTTGTAAGGGAACTTGGTAGTCAATGCAAGTGGGGTTGGTGGACTTACCACCAGAAAAAGGGTAAAGGGTAAAGAAGTAACTGAAGAAAATGTCAAATGTACTTGGAGACTACACGCATATAGGGCAAATGTTAATGTGTACTGGTTTGTAAAGACATATAATCGCAATCACATTTGCCTTCAGTCCCGAAAAATCAAATCTTGCACTACCACCTTTATTTCAAAACAGATTATGGATTAGATTGAATCAAATCCTGGAGTGCCAATTTGTGTAATACAAGAGGAGCTACATAGGAAGTATGAGGTTAGTTTTTTGGGTGACAAGGTTTTAGGGCTAAAACCCTCGCAACAAAAATGGTGGTTGGAGACTATACTAAACAATATGCAGTTTTAAGACTTAAAAAAAAAGGTTCAACGACACAAACATGACATTTTTGACAAATTTATAAATAAAGATTTATTACAATAATTATTGTTGAAGTTGTTTATATAAATATGAAAAAAAAAATCATAATGTATTCTTATATTTTTTGTGCCAAATTTTATAAAACATTATTTAATACAATATTGTCAATTCTTGGGAAAATATTTATGGGTATGTTTTAATTGATTTAATTGAAAAATCAAAATTTATTTCCATCCATTTATGTATCAAATTTTTTGATTCATAATCACGATGTTTATGTAGAATTTTACGACTGAAATTGTTGGTTTTTATCAAATATATACGTTAATGTGTGCCATTTTATTTTCACTTTTTATACAATAATACATAAAAGTTAATCTAGATTTGTTAATTATTTATAACAAAGTCATAAAATATTAAAAAATCACTTTGAAGTTTAATAAATCAGTTTATTTAGATTTTATTTTATTTTAGTAGTCTGCAGATGTTTAAAAAAAAAAACAATCTTTTTTTCTCAGACTGTACACGTTTGGTCCACATCTTCTACTGTAGAGGTCTACAGATGTGGTCCGCAGACTGTAGATATTTTGCTCCAGAAAAAACAAGCAACACCTATGTGTTAGAGTTACTAGAAACAAATATGGATACAACTTTGAAAAATTCAAGTTGAGTCTGAACCTAAGTATAACAACTCAACTAGACCATTCAAAAGGATATATGTGTGCATAGGAGCTTTAAAGAAGGGTTTAGGATTCAGATGTGAGATTTTCTAGGTTTGGATGGTGCCTTCATGAAAGGACCATTCCCAAGTCAGATTCTTACAGTTGTTGGGATTGATTCCAATAATGGAATCTATCCCTGGCATATGCAATTGTGGAGACTCAGAACATTGAGAGCTGGAACTGCGTTTTGGAACATCTTGGAGGTAACTAGGACAAGCATGCTATAAACTTCACATTTATCAGTGACAGAGAGAAGGTAATTTTGTGCTTAACATATTTTATTTAAGACAAATAACTTATACTTACATACTAATTTAGCTATTCACTTCATGTAAATAGGGTCTTATACATGCTATTTCAAACTTATTTCCTTGTGCCGAATGTAAATATTTTCTAAAGCATATCTATGAAAATATGAATAAATTATGGAGGACTAAAGAGTACAAGGAATACTTGTGGAATTTTAATAAAGCCACAACCATCCCAAAGTTTGAAACACTGATGGGAGAGTTTAGATCCTACGACAGGGAAACATATGAATAGCTTATGAAAATCCCTCCCCGTCACTGGGCTAGATGACATTTCTCAGGTAATTACTTATTTTTTAAATTTTATATGTTTACATGATTTCCTCTTGATTTTACTTACCAATAGGTACTATATACTAACAGGTAGGGGCAATGTCAAATATGTTGTTGAATAATCTTTGTAAAGTTCTTAATAACAAGCTCATAAAATGGGAGGGGATAAACCAATAATAGCCTATTTGGAGTTCTTATAAGGATATCTTATGAAAAGAGTCTGTAATGTGATGAAGGTGATAAATAAGTGCATATGTTAACTCATACCTACTAGTGAAAGGCTATTACATGCAAACATATAAAGTGCTTCATTGTACACTGCAAGATGGAATGTAGTATGTACTAGATCAAAGGGCGATGACATGATCAACATGTTGTAGACATGTGGTAGATGACTTGCAGCTGTAGGAAATGGGAGTTAACAGGCTTTCCCTATAATCATGCAGTTATAATAATTAATGAAATGACAACCAATGATGAGAGAGTATGAGAACTGTACACCTATGTGCATCAGGTGTATTGGCTAGAAACATGGAAAACCATGTACTCTTTCACAATGGAATATATCAAAGGAAGGAGCATGTGGCCTAAGAGTGATTGTCCAACAACTTTTACCCCTCCACCACACCACAAGCAGCCAGGAAGACCAAAAAAGAAAAGGACCGATGAAAAGAGTGTTAGCAAAAGTAATAAATGGAATCTACCACAAGGTCATTGTGAAAGTGAGAAGATAAATAGGAAATTTATGAGAGTGACATATAGTAAGTGTAAGAACAAGGGCCGTAATGCCAGGAAATGCAAGGGCTAGGGGGAAATGGAATTACCAGTCAAGCAAATGAAAATTGAAGTGTTGAAGTGTTGTAGGGGTAGGCTACTGGATTTTGTGTTTTTTATTTGTGGTTGTAATAGTTGGTAATGTATTGAAACTCTAGTTATTATGTAATATTTATGCCCATTTGAACTTGGTTATGTAATAGTTACACACTTTTGAACTTGGTTATGCAATAACTATGTACTTTTGGTAATGTTTAATGGTAATGTTGGGTTTTTTCTTTTTGTTAAAACAACTTTTGGTAATGTACTTTCTGGTATTGTGTTATGGTTAACATCATAGTTTTCAATCACACCAAATGTTAACAGATAACATTTTTACCATTACACCATACACCATTCACATAACCATTTCAACTGATACAATTTATAACAAAAACTAACACTTTCATTAAGACATGTTACCATTAACAACATCATAAACTTAAACCACAACATTACTACATTCTTAGATTAATCGCTCTAGATCAACTTACAAAAACCAACACCAAAACACAACATTAAAACATTCTTCCAAAAACTACACCCCAACATGTAATCCCTA